AGAGAGAGAGAGAGAGAGAGAGAGAGAGAGAGAGAGACCGAATGTCAAAATTGAAATATGGGTCAAAACGATCTATTTCACAGTTGGAATGATTTTTTAAAATTTATTTAGCATTTTTCCTGGAAAGATCACAAGAAAAACTACGAGTACTCCAATTTTCAGTTTTTTTCACGTATTCTTCTCAGCGCGAAAACTCACTGAATTTGGAGTACTTTTTCAGTTAGCCCACACATGGCTGAGTGGCAAAAATGGAAAATGCGCCAAATAGGAGCGACGTTTATTTTGTGGCCTAAATGACTTTTTGAAAATGTTCTGATATTTTTCCTGGAAAGAACACGGCCTCATCTATAGATTCTCAAAATTTCAGATTTTTCTGTGGATTCCTCCGAGCACAGAAAATCGCCGAAGTTGCCTCTTGCAAAATGCCTGTTTCGTTGCGCCTGACCTCCCCGTTTTGAGAAGACGGGCCTCAACGGGTGGGCCTGAGGGCCCTTTTGCAGTACACATGCCCTCACTTCTTTTTGGGGTCCGCTTCCACCGAGGACGAGTCCTTCCTTTTTCCAAAGTCCCGGTTCTACAAGAGCTAGCTGTAGGTAGTCCACAATATCTTGAAGGGCCAAATCCCCCCCACCCTTCTAAGAACCCACTTGCATTGTGGTCGCCCGCCGCCAAAAAATGCGACACCTTGACACAGACGCCGAAGCCCACTATACCGCAGCCTTAGGGCTGCGAACTCAGGGATTACAGGGAGAACAAATAAAGACAATCAAACCTGGCCTATGGCTGAACGGTACACACATGTGACTGTTCATTTATAAACAGATCACACGCTCAAATTTTGTCCGGTACGATAATGCTAGCAACTGACCCCGTTTATCAGAGAAAAGAAATAAAGACAATAAGAGAAAGGTCACGTCATAGTGGAGAGGTATGTGGAGGAAGGAACAATTTGAACCGACAGTCTGTAGAGTTTTCCATCTGGTGTGGGTGAGTGATAGTCTACTTCGATTTTGGTTAAGGTAGAGAGAGAGAGAGAGAGAGAGAGAGAGAGAGAGAGAGAGAGAGAGAGAGAGAGAGCATATGTGCTGAAGTAAAAAAGGAAGGGAAATAGTTCCTCATTACACGGCTGACTAACTCTACTTGCTTTGAGTTCTCTTACCTATTTGGCGGGGTTTCACTGGATCAAGTGACCAGTTTCCCCCGTGGAGTTCAGGAGGAGGATAATAATAATAATAATAATAATAATAATAATAAGAGAAGAAGAGTGAAAACAGGCACCTGCTGCCTTCCGTACACACTTCGAAAGCTCTTCAATACATAGCCGCACATACTGCTCTCAGCTTACGTGCACGTTCCCCAACGGGCGTTTCCATCGGCTGTGCTCCAATCATCCTTGGGGGTTTCATGCGAAACCATGCCTTGCGGCCCACTGACTGTGCTCCCGCATCATGACAAGAAGAAGAAGAAGAAGAAGAAGAAGAAGAAGAAGAAGAAGCATTGGAGGAGGAGGACGAGGAGGAGAAGAGGAAGAAGAAGAAGAAGAGAAGAAGAAAGGGCGGGTGGTGGTGATGGTGGTGCTGATGAATGTGAAAAGTGGGACCAACGTTTTGGATGCGCTTTCAAAACGACAGAATCACTAACAGCACAACTGCCATTCAAAATGCGTTTTTGCCGTTCGGGTCAAAGCGAAGTGATATGTGTGCTATTTGGGCAAGTACTTTAAACCTTTTCAAGTTAACCTTCATGGGGGGCTATTCATCCAATAACACTAGTCTTTCTTCTCCTTTCCCATTCTCTTGGATTCCCCCACCCCGCTCTTCCACTTGCATCTCGGTGCCTTCTCCAAGTCTTTGAGCTTGTCAATGGTTATAAACGGGCCTCGCTGCACTACACTAAACTCGCGAAAAAGTTCAAGTGTGTTCATCTAGAGCTGTCATACCACAGAAATGGCCAGGTGCTGTCGTAGCTGCACTTACTCTCGACCCTCGACTCTCTACTCTCATGAAGCACTCTCGTGAAACCTGACAGAATACTACAACCCAGCCCCACGGCCCTTTGTCCCCCCAGACTGGAGACCCGCTCTATAATTTTTCGACCGCCTGAGGGGTCCTAGGGACCTCCCTTAAAAAAACTGGGCTTGCAGGTGGGCACTGTAGAATCGTCAAGCGTTCGTGAGGAGGGCCGTTTCTGACAGCTCTTGAAGAGAGACAGCGGGAGCCCCTTTCTAAAGTTACCACAGCCATGATGCGCTCTCAACGTTTTCGAGAGTGCATCTGACAGCTCTTGAATGGGAATTCGTGCCGCTGCGTCAAGGGTTAGTTAGTCAGTTAGTGCAGCGATGACTAACGCTCGATTTGTCAAGATTCAAGCGTAGTGCAGCAAGTGCAAGGCTACGCCCGCTTAGCCCCTACGGGGCCCTATCTGCAACAAGGTCGGCCGCCCTAAGTGAAGGCAGGCACGACAGGCCCTTCGGGCCTCATTCTTCAGGGTACCCCGCAACGGGGAAATTCAGACAGTTGCAT